GGTACCGGAACCAGAGATGGGCGGAAGATGTAACAGGCTGGACAACAGCCCTCAACCGGCTCCAGGGAAACCTCGCGCACGGTTTCGGTGAGCACCCGCTCTGTTGCTGAGCCCGCCGAAGAATTGCGCATGAGCAAATGCGCCGTATCCGGGTTGGCCCAAACCAGTGATTTCCGGACGGTTGATTCCATGCCATCTTGCTGCGTGTGTGTAAGACACGCCACTGTTGAGTGCTTATTTCCCAAAGAGATCAGTATTCTTGAATGTTCGAGCATTTGATTCTTGCTTATTCATGCTTAAGGAACCCTTTGAGCCTCGGACCTGTTTCTGGACCTCGTTGGCCGTTGTCTCCCCGAAGTTTCCCTGGATTCCGAACCCTCCATTACGCGGTTTGATGTTTGCATTCGCTGGTGTAACTGGTCGTTTTTGTTGTTCAAGGTTTTGGGCAGTAGTCTCCCCATTAACATTCGCCATCGACTTGATTATGGAAGGCGCCAATTGCACTGGAAGTAATTAGAGGCTTAGCTTTTAGACTTTTGAACAACATCCATTTTTTGCCATTGGCCTGGAGGTTCATCGTCATCATCAGCTTCCAGGCCGCCGTCGGATCGTTCTCATAGTTGAAATGATGCGAATTGCGGGAAACACGCATTTGGCCGTGGATGTACACTGTGGTTGTGTGCAAGTCCACATGCGCAACCTGTTGACAAAGGTTTTTGCACTTAGGTAATCTGAGGTGTGCTGGCATGCGGAATGGTGTGACCTGCAAGCTGTCATGGAAACGTCACGTTAGCTCGAAGGATGAGAATATTGTACGCAACTATGCAACACCATAGACATTCATTTCGCAGGCCAGTGACGGGTCCTTCTCCAGGTCAGGGCCTTATGCTCAGTTCATGTATGCGCGATACAAGGAATAGCCTTATGGCAGCAATTTGCAGAACAAGTATGCAGGAGTGACGCGACAAGCACGAGCAAACCCGGTGTTGTCCGAGCAGCAGATCGATCTGTTGAAACAGGAGCATGCATGTGGGGACGTAGTGTGGACCCTGGGCTATCCACTCAATTGATGTGCCCCGGATTCGCAGGGCTTTTGCTATTTGACAGCTGAAGAAACGTGAACATGTTGCAAATGGCAGGATCCCTGGCTGAACGAGGCTGACTCTGCATATTGTGAAAAGGAATAGCTGAGATAGAGCATGTGTGTGAGCCATGTAAACTCAAATATTTAAAGTGCTTCCTGCCACATAGATTCAACATGATGCTAGCCTGGCGAAGGGGCACGCATGATTGGCGAGTCCGTGGGTTTTCTTGACAAGGCACTGTGAAATGGAACTGTTCCTGACAGGATCCTGTCGGCAGTGTCATTGAGTCCAAATCAGTTCACCCTGATGACATGATTCTATGTCAGCATCCAAGTTGATGTATTTCTAGATTTGCATGTGTCACCGCAGGTGTGCGGGCCAATTGCGCATGCTTGCCACAACTATTTGATACTTAGCTGTTACCTTTTGACAGCTTGCGTTGGACTTATAGATTTGGGCGTTACCTTTTTTGTAATCCCCTCTTCCAATAAAACCTGCCGATGGCAGTTTGTCGAGGCAATATATGATTCTGGAAACAGGGATTTAAGTAGAAGGGGAGAAGGGGAGGGAATGTATTCACATAACCTTTATATGTACGTGGCGTTCATGTAGTGGTTTAGATGGCAGTTAAAGGCTTGCGAGATCAAGTCTTTTGTTGTCCAACAGTTGAATCTTTGTAGACGAGACTGTAATGAATGCATGCTGTGCCTTGTGCCAATGAAGCTAAGGTCATTTATTTTGCGCTTGCTTTGATCGCAAGTGCTGCCCCCAGCTCATGCTAGACAGGACTGTTGAAGGAAATTGCAAGCAGGAAGACGTGTTTGCTCCAGCTCCAGCATTGTCGTTTGTAGACTGGCAAGATTGGTAAAGTGCACTTTGAGATGCTGAAATGCGGTGCCTTGGGTTATTAGCTGTCGTTGGCTTCAGCAAGTTGCACCTCAAGCCCATGGAATGAACAAGCTGAAAGGCCCGAAAGCTGATAAAGATCAAACACGCAGAGCATCACGTGGCAGGTGCATGATTCTCGTGACTTGTGCCAAAGCAGCATTTTGCATCGAGAGCCGGTCGGTCATCAACCGCAGCAGAGGGTGTACTGAGGAGCCTGGTCGATGTAGAAGATGCGAGAGATATTGTGTATGATAGGTTCTTTCCTCCGGAATCCTACAGGCATGACACCATAGAGAGCAGGGTAGAGCCGGCACTTGGCCCGTGATGCAATCGGCTGGCGAAGGCAAAGCCGGTTCGGAGCAATTGTGCCGTTGATACAGCCTGGCTAATGACAGCCCATACACGACATGCATCTGCACATTTTTGGAGCAAGGTGATGACCTAAGCTCCGCGTGTGCAGCTCAGAGTAAGAGCTCTGGCAAGGGAAATTTTGCCCTGGCATGAGCAGTACCTTCCTGTCAGGTCATCAAGCCCGTTGCTGAGCCAGAAGTCGCAATCTCAGGAAGTCATTGCAAGCGAGGTGCGCCAAACAGCTTGGCGCCACCACGAAAACCGCAAAGCGATTAGTTTCTCCATGAGGCACATATCCAGCGGCGGTGCTCGAATTGGCCCCGTCCAAAACAGCCCAATCCCTGTAAAAAGTCTCCGAAAGCCTCGAGCGGGGAAGAGGGCAATTTGCAACAGGGCTAAACACTTGGTTCTGCTGATGAAGTCAAGGTCTGGAAGCCTCAATGCTTGGAAGCTTCCTAGCCTCAAGCAAAAGCTGAAGGACTTGTGAGCTTTTCAGAACAGTTTGAGGGTGGTCTCGGTTGGTCTGTCAAAAAAAAGCTCAAAACGCTTGGGTGCCAGGATCACCTCATCACTGCGCAGGAAGCCTTGCTGCAGCAAAGCCAGGAGCATGGACTTGCATTCCAGTGCTTCTCGGCGCCTTGCATGTAGCTGAGCCCTAAACTACACTTCAGGATGCGTGTTCAAAACGGACGAGTTGGAGTGCAGAGGGAAAGCCTGTATAATCCTGCAGCATGAAGGTCGCAACGTTGTGCGCTTCTACTCTGATGCAATAGAGAACCTTGCCCTCCTGAGAAGCCTATGAAGTTAGACCCGGGCGGCAGGCAGAATCAGCTCTTGAGACTCATGAGGGGGTGGGGGCAGAACATCAAGTTTTTCCAAGACACCCCTGTAGACTGAATATTGATTTGAACGACATGTAGGAAGCTCCACTAGATGTGGGGTGGGATTTATTATGAGACCTCTGCTTGCTTATCAGGTTCACGGTTCAGGGTCGAGGATGCAGAATTCCGTCTTTTGGGAGTTCAAGGTTTGCTGACTCTGCGTTCAAAGCTAGGGGATGTCAGACCAAATTTTTGCAGAAGAGTCAGTTGTGCTGTTTGCAACTCAAGGTCCTGCTTTTCTGTCATCTTGTTCGAGATGTCGTGTCATTTATTGAACTTATTGTTTCTGGACTGGTCAGCAGTGTTCAAGCGGCGATGCCTCCACAAGCCAAAAGACTCTGCAATCTTTGCTGTGCTCTGCCTAGAGTGATGTTGCTCAGAAACGCACATCCCCTCAGGTCCGTAGAGGTATCAGTCTGCAGTCAGTTTGCAGAAGAATTCGACCCCCCTAAATCCAGAGACTTGTATGTGAACCTCAACACCAGCTGCAGGAGCGACACGAGATTTACAGCGCAAGCACCGGAAGCAAGAGTAAAGAGACTAAGGCTTCCCCTTGCAGCCTTTCAGATGGATTCGGCATTCAACGCTTTGTGGATTTGCAGGTCCCAGCTTTGCTTCCAATACAGCGAAACCCAGAGCTGTGCCCCTGGCGGTTCCTATGCAGATGAAATTTGGCTCTCGTGAGCTGATAGGAAGCAGCCACCACGAAGGGCCACCTCAGTCCTACAGGTGCAGGACCTTGGGTTGTCCTGTTTTCAGATTGACTGCCAAAGGTTGTTCAGGATTTTGATCAGCCAAATCAGGAGGTTTTCTTCAGCTCCCCAAAGCTCTGTGATGGAAGTGGTACTTACTCATAGTGCCGGAGAAGCTTTTCCAGCCTGCAGCCCTTGAAGTTTAGAAACGGCAACGTCCGTGAACCGTGTCTGCAAAGCTGTGCCTTGTCCGTAGGATCTTCCTCCTGAGAGAAGATCCGCCTGGAACTTTTTGCAGCACGCGTGACACTGTCAATAGTAGGCTTGTAGCCTAGTATAGTCCCTAATATAGTCCCTAATAAGGAACCCATGTCCATTACTTATCTGGGAAATAGTCATCGTAGCTCACATGAGTTTGATCAGCGCAGGTGCTTATAAATCAGTAGTCATTTGCACGCATAGTATCTCTGGGAATCTCCAAGCGGTGCGTCAGAGGTAGACTCAGAGGAAAAAACAAACAGCCATGTTCCATCATCGCATGATCTTTGCAGGCGACATGCCTTCATGGAACAGACATAACATCACCCTATGATGGACTGCGGTTGCAGATGCCGAAGCGATTTTTTGCCCAGGCCCTGGAGCCTTTGTCCAAAGCTGGGATGCATGAGTTCTCAGGCAATACGTGTTGATGTCCAGATGTGACCTTGCATTTAGACTCTGCTGCAGTAAGGCTGTGTTGGGCTAAGTGCGTACGTGAGGGGCAAAATCAGAGACGTTTCGATCCTCTGAGCGAAGCCGCTGGCAGCCCTCGACTCTTTCGCCACGGCTGCTTGGCACTTAGCATATCTTGGCATGCTTGCAGCCTCTTGATAGCCACTGCCAAGTGGAGTATCTGACTTCAATTGTTTCTTGATGACTGGCTGGTCGCGAGGTCTCCAGGGGAAGTCTCTCCCGGTGAGTCAGGCATGGTCGATGATTTGCTGCGAAAGACCTGAAACACCTTGGCTGTGCAGGCTTGAGCACCGGGAGGGCACGCTGCTGAACAACTGCTGGCCCATGCTGGCCAGCCTGCACTGTTTTTTCGCTTCGATGCGCATACCTAGGCCCGTGCCAACACCTTGGACAACCTGACGCCGCCTGGGACTTCTTCAGTCTGTTCAACAATCACAAACAGATGGCACAACCTGCAGCTAAGGACGGTGGCTAGCAACATGAGAACTGTGCAAGGCTTAGAGTCCGACAAGCCTGCATGGCTCCACTGCTCTTCGCAAGGTCTGCTGTCATACAGGCATTTTGGCAGTTTATACTTGGAAAAGGGGTCGCAGCAAGGTGAGGCTTTTAACACGATGTTGACATGCGAGGCACATGCAACGCATCTTATGATGATGCCGATGAGGGTGGTTTCAATGTCGCTGATTTGGATGGTGACCATGCAACCATGCTCCATGATGGGCTTCTGCCAATGATGATTTGCTTCACTCGCCGCAGGAGGGCCTGCGTTGCGCTTTCTCTCACAGTTCCTCCAATACTTGCTTCGGGTACGCAAGCCATACTAAAAAGTCACATGCAACGGTTTGAGACTTGATCGAATCAGCCAATCCAGGATCTTCTAGCGAGTGTTACATTGTAGGATCAAATTTAGGCCGTGCAGCAGGCTAGCAAGCGTAGCGTGCGGGCAGAAACTGGCAGTGGATGCTCGTAGTTCATAGCATGCTGCAAAACCCGAACAGCAATACATAGCATCGCTTGCAGTGGCAACCACAATGGTCGAGACGTTGGAAACGGGGCCATGTTGCTTTCTGTTACCTCACACTCTGGAAGTACAGAACGGGCATGGTTCACGCGGCTTCGGCTGATCTTTGAGGAACGTGCTCTTCGTGTTGTTGTTGTTGTTGTTGTTGTGGCCGTTGTTGCTGCTGTTGTTGTTGCAAGCGTCGGTGCCACAAGGCAAAGAGCTGCAGACAACTCCGGCATGAACCGTGCAGGACGCCGCCTTCCCCTACATACGTTGAAGCTCGGAGGAGAAACATGGAAGCCGCGCAGGGTCACTGGATATCTCGGCAGTGCTGAGCACGCTTGAGTAGCCCAAGATGACGACCTATAAAAGACATTGCGTGTGCTCACTTTCAAGTGCCATGCAGTGCTAAGCGCTTAGAGTTGCCCTTGTTCCATGTTGCATGCTTGTATATTCGTATGGATTATGCCCAACCCACTGTTGTGCAAGGTAGGTATCAATCATGTATGTGTGGAATGTTCTATGTAATTTGGCTCAAGTTTCCTTAAAAGGCTACCGACTTAGGGAGGTATCCCACTGTGCCGTTTACATATGGGCACTCTGCAATCGCTGAGCTGAGCTTTGAGTTACCACATTTGACGACAAAAA